GAACTTCCTGATGAAGTGGTGGATGCGAGTACAACAACAACGTTTAGAAGACATTTGCATGGATATATGAATAGGAAAGGTTTGGAGGGATATGGGCCAGGAGCAGGCAGGTGGGACTATTTTAGTCTGGGAGCATGGTTGGCATGGACTGGTTGGACCAACAGGTCTGTTTCCTTGTTGTATAACACTGTGACTCTCTGACTGGTACTGAAAGTGGTTAAGGAGCCATATAGAATACCGGCTTTTATTAACAGAAGCATTGAATACAAGAGCAAGGGAGGTATATTGAAGCTATGTATATTGTCAGTTAGGCCCCAGCTGCAGTCCTGTGTGCACTTCTAGTCACACACAATTGAAAGGATATAACTACATTAGAAAGGTTGCAGAAGAGATTCATTGGGATGTTGCCAGGGCTGTAGCAATTCAGCTGTGGAGAGAAACTAAACAGGCTGAGATTGTTTGCTTTCAAACAGGGAAGGCTGAGGGAGGTTCTGATTGAGGTGTACAAAATTCTGAGGGGTGTAGATAGAGAGAACTATTTCCTTGAGTAGAGGGATCACTAACCAGGGGCTTTGGTTTAAGGAAAGGGGCTGGAGGTTTAGAGGACATTTAAGAAAAGAATTCTTCACTTCAATTGTGGTAGTTATCTGGAACTCACTCCCCCAAAAGGGTGTTAGAGGTGCAAATATCTAAGAAGTATTTAGATGAACACTTGAAGTGCCATAACTTACAAGGCAATGGACCAAGTACTATCAGATGGGACTAGAGTAGATGGGTGCTTATTGATTTGTGCCAATACAATTTGCAAAGGGCCTTTTTCCATGCTGTAAAGTTCTGTATTTGTACAAGAGAGTAGGCTGAAAGAAAAGCTTTTCCTGGGGATGTGGTTAGACAAGATGTAAACCTTCCTGCTAACAGTAAAAGCATCAAATGACAATAATGTTATTGGAAGTTACATCAGAGTCGTGGAATATTAAGGAACAAAGCCTTACAAAAACAAACTGTTACAAAGATTTGCGGTCAAGATTAATACCCGTTGAGTTCATTGGCTCAATGGTTTCTATTTGTTTCATTTAGGCAGCTGAAAACATTGTTAGTTGGAGGTGGATTGAATAGAGTCACTAATTTAGACATCGATTTATAAAAGTTCAGAAAGCAAACCTTGTGGGAAAATTGGATTAACATCATTAAAAGTATAATCAGTAACATTAGTGCTAAGGTGGTGGGGAAGGCAACGGGTGCTGGATTTTCATCAGTAGAGATACAGTCATACGAATGTACAAACATAGGCCAGTCGGCCATTTAATCTTGCTGCCATTCAATATGGTCATAGCTAATGTGTTTGTGTTTTGAGTTTCAGACTTCCACCTCTCCCCAGTAGCCTTTGATTTCCTTGCCTGAAAAGAATCTACTTGCCACTGCCTTAAAATTATCAACTGACCCATCTCCATCACCTTCTGAGGTTGCAAAACTCTCTGAGAGAGAAAAAAAGTCTGTCCTAAAAGGGTAACCTCTAATTTTAAAATATTGCCCGTAGTCCTGGGTTTACCCACAAGAGTAATCATCTTTTCCATATCCACCTTAATAAGACCATTCAGGACCTGATGAACTTAGAACATAGAACATAGAACAGTACAGCACAGTACAGGCCCTTCGGCCCACGATGTTGTGCCGAACTTTTACCCTAAACTTATGGTCTATCTAACCTTATACTATCATCCATATGCCTATCTAATAGCCGCTTAAATGTCCCTAATGAGGCCGACTCCACTACACTCTCCGGCAATGCATTCCACGCCCCGACCACGCTCTGAGTAAAGAACCTATCTCTGACGTCTCCCCTATATCTACCTCCACTCACTTTAAAACTATGCCCCCCTCGTAATAGCTACCTCCACCCTAGGAAAAAGTCTCTGGCTGTCTACTCTATCTATACCTCTAATCATTTTGTACACCTCTATCAAGTCACCTCTCATCCTTCGTCATTCTAAAGAGAAAAGCCCTAGCTCTCTCAACTTTTCCTCATAAGACCTTCCCTCCATTCCAGGCAACATCCTGGTAAATCTCCTCTGCACCTTTTCCAATGCCTCTACATCTTTCCTGTAATGAGGCGACCAGAACTGGACACAATACTCCAGATGTGGCCGAACCAGGCTTTTGTATAGCTGGAGCATAACTTCTATCAAATCTTCTACCCAACTTTTCCTCATAGGACAACCCACTCGTTCCACGTATCAATCTGGTAAACCTCCTCTGAATCACTTTTATCTTTCCTTCAATAAGGAGAAAAAGACTGCATGCAATATTTGACATGTGGTTTTACCTAAATAATTGAAGGTGAACTTATATGTTCAGTTTCTCTCGTGGTAAAGGCTATCCCATTCGGCTTCCTGTTTACAGGCTGTACCTGCAAAATAACATTTTGTGACTCACAGGAAGGCAGTGAAACTGTGATAATGTCACTGGGCTAGTAATTCAGAACTCCAAAGTTCTGTTAATTGTCATAAGGACCATCTGGTAAATGCCCTTTGTGGAAGCAAGTTTGTCATCCTTACCTAGCCTAGCCTGTATGAGATTCCAGACCCACAGCAGTATAGAGTCATAGAATCATACAGCGTTGAAAGTTGACTCTATGTACACCCTGATAATTAGGACTTGGTAATAAATGTTGGCCTAACCAATGATGACCACATCCCTTGAACAAATTAAAAAAAAAAATACACTAGAACATCTAGCTCCCTGTGCACCTCTGGGCCAATGGGAAGAGTGCCTTAGTTTTCTGAGTTTTTAGTGAGGGGCCCTTTTTTGATATATAGTTTGGAGAAGGAGTTGATAATGATCTGGAGCTCAGTTTCTAAATGAGCATGTACACAAGTGTTATCTGCGTCCTGAAGCTCTATGACTAGGGTGGATGGAATGATTTATGATCAGTGGCAAGATCCTGGAGACTCACATCTTGGAGCCTACACTAAGCACGTGGAGACCGCACAATGCATAATCACTTCCAATATACTAGCTTAGCCTTCAGATGCCAAGGGAAAAGAGTATTTAAGGGCCAGGATCTCAAACGCTAAACTAAAATCATGCTTTTCCTGGCAGCAGTAATGCTGCTCTCCTAAATGCTTTGGTGAAAGGAACAATCTCCAGCAGGTACCTCAAAGGACAGGATAACCATAATGGTACCTTCACAAGATTGTCCTCATCCTTAATTACAGGAAAGATGTGGAATTGTTGGAAAAGGTGCAGAGGAGATTTACCAAGATGTTGCCTGGAATGGAGGGAAGGTCTTACGAGGAAAAGTTGAGAGAGCTAGGGCTTTTCTCTTTAGAACGACGAAGGATGAGAGGTGACTTGATAGAGGTGCACAAAATGATCAGAGGTATAGATAGAGTAGACAGCCAGAGACTTTTTCCCAGGGTGGAGGTAGCTGTTACAAGGGGGCATAGTTTTAAAGTGAATGGAGGTAGATATCGGGGAGACATCAGAGGTAGGTTCTTTACTCAGAGTAGCCTGGGCGTGGAATGCATTGCCGGAGAGGGTAGTGGAGTCGGCCTCATTAGGGGCATTTAAGCAGCTATTAGATAGGCATACAGATGACGGTATAAGGTAGGGGTGGAGGTTGGATAGACCTTAGGATTAGGGTAAAAGTTCAGCACAACATCGTGGGCCGACGGGCCTGTACTGTGCTGTACTGTTCTATGTTCTATCCATGCAAGGCAGCCCAATAGCAATGTCCTCTGTCAGGCCAACTGTCCAGCTTTGAGGTGCTAATCATTCAAAACCAGTTCTGCTGCACAGGCCTTATATCCATATGCCTGACGGCAGCAAGGTGGCTCAGTGGTTAGCACTGCTGCCTCACAGCATCAGGGACCTGGGTTCCATACCACCCTCGGGCGACTGTCCGTGTGGAGTTTGTACATTTTCCCCGTGTCTGTGTGGGTTTCCTCCGGGTGCTCTGTTTTCCTCCCACAGTCCAAAGATGTGCAGGTTAGGTGGATTGGCCATGCTAAATTGCCCCTAGTGTGCAGGCTAGGTGGGTTGATCATGGGAAATGCAGGATTATAGGGATGGGGTAGGGGAATGGGTCAAGTGTCAGTAGAGATCTGGCATGACAGTAACTAGCCTGACTGGTTATTGGTATAGTGGTTATGATACTGGACTAATAATCCAGACATTGGAATGAATGAAGCAAAAACAGAAATTTCTGGAACAGCTCAGCAGGTCTGGCAGCATCTGTGGAGAGAAAGCAAAGATAACGTTTCTGATCAAGTGACCCTTCCTCAAAACTGAGGAAGTTCTAAGGGTTTGGAGGAAGAGTCACTGTACATGCTTCTAGACCTGCTGTCCTTCTCCAGCAATTTCTGCTTTTGTTTCTGATTTACAGCGTCTGCAATTCTTTTGGTTTTTGTCTGAATGAATGATCTGGGACTTGAGGTGTCAGTCAAACAAAAGTTTAATCTCATTATTAATAATAAGAAAGTTATTGCACTGTCATAAAAACTTGTCCTGTTCAGTAACTTCCTTCAGGGGCAAAAATCTGCTGCTGTTACTCAGTCTGACATGTCTGTGTTTCAGGTACCTTAAGCGACTCTTGGATAGGCACATGGAGGATAGTAAAATGTAGGGTATGCAGGGTAGTTTGGTCTTAGTAGGATAATAGGTCAGCACAACATTGTGGGCCGAAGGGCCTGTACTGTGCTGTACTGTTCTATGTGATTACAGACCAATATCAAAATGGTTAACTGTCCTTTGAAATGGTCAGACATGATCAGCTATGTCAAACTGTTACAGAACAAAAGGTACTATAGGTGTATTTTCACCGCATGAACTGCAGTGGTTCAAGAGAACAGCCCATCGCCACCTTCAGATGAGCAAGAAACACTCACCTTCCTGATATGGCTGGAACGCATGGAAAGAAATGTAAAGGTGCTGGTGTTGCTGAGGGTCAGAAACTCGGTGCTACTGAAATTAATTTTTCCTTTTCATTTAATTTTGTTTAGTGCATCACTAGCCAGTTGAAGGAGAAGGGCTACAACACATCCTTGGACCTGCCAGATAATGTGCTGATGTTTGTCCGAGATCACCTTCTGATGGCCGATTGCATCCACCCAATAGGCAGGAGGCCCCTCCTCATCATGAGAGACACACTATATTCCAAGATCCTTGTCAAGAAAATGAATGCCGGGACTGAGGTTTTGTACTTGGGGACAGGTAAGGAAACGTTACCCTCCTCCTTGTACATTTGTGACTTCACTGCTTCCTGGCAGAAAGGTTGAGGTGCACTGGGAGAGCAATGTCTGTTAGAGTCTCCTTTGGTTTAGAAAAGTATGAACCCTCTCCCAATCACCTCCCCAAAGAGAGGTGGAGGCATTTTCTTTTAATGCATCAGTCCGCTGGTGGAACAAAACTTTGTAAAAAGGAGGAACTTGCCTTTATTGAGTTTCTTAAAAGCATTGGAATAGACTATCTGTAGGCTCCTTCTGAGTGTAATTAAAATTTCCAGTTGATACCCTTCTCTATAAATCAGCAAGAAATTGGGGATCAGAAAGTGGAAGCATGCATTCCAGTTCTGACAACAAGCCTCAACCTGTAATACCAGGCTAGCCACTTCTGTTAGGCAATATTTCCTGTTTTTAATCCATTTTAACTGTATACTTCGGAATGGCAGAGAAGTTTAGAACAAATGGTATGTATTTGCTCGGATTGATATGTGACATGTTATGATCCAGGGACAAGGAATCAGGGGTAACAGTGGCGAACAGGAATTATTGATATTTGAGTACATTGACTGTATATAAAACTCCTGCAATTGTTGTTGACCAAATTGGAATATTCCCATTGCCCGTGTTTTGGTGGTATTGTGGCAATGTCACGGGATCTATCTTTCTATCGCTTTCTATCGGTATGTCAGGAATAAAAGAATGACTACAGTAAGATTGGGGCCGGTCAAGGACAGTAGTGAGAAGTTGTGCGTGGAGTCCGAAGAGATAGAAGAGGTGCTAAATGAATATTTTTCGTCAGTATTCACACAGGAAAAAGACAATGTAGTCGAGGAGAATACTGAGATACAGTCTATTAGACTAGACGGGATTGAGGTTCATAAGGAGGAGGTGTTAGCAATTCTGGAAGGTGTGAAAATAGATAAGTCCCATTGGCCGGATGGGATTTATCCTAGGATTCTCTGGGAAGCTCGAGAGGAGATTGCAGAGCCTTTGGCTTTGATCTTTATGTCGTCATTGTCTTCAGGAATAGTGCC